TCATGTCCAAAATCTCCTTTTATCATCAGCAGATGCAAGAAAGTGGGAAAGGTAAAAGAATATAAAAAAATAAAATAAAAAAGGCAGTTGTTTTCACTCAATGTGCAAATTATTTAAGTCATTAGAACACTTGGTAATAGTCTATAGATTGATTCATGATGTAGATGAAATTGCTTTGCTTCGGAAAGATCAATCTGATCTGCACTTGTAACAGGGGACATTGAGAATAGAAAACTTGGTGTATAAGGAATATTCAGGCCTGGCGGAAGATGGAAAAAATCAGAAACTGCGAGCAGCGTTAGCTAGGATAGGATTTAAGTAACGGCTTTGGAGGTCCCGGCCACTTGTTTGTGTCAGCGGAAATATCTATAACGAAGTACGGTTATAAGAACCTAACAGTTGTGGTCCCTTTGAGTTCGTTATAACCGTAGCTTACTATACTTCTGAAGAAAGACGAATCATTGTTGAAGTCAACCCATAGGATGGTCTTAATAAGATCCAGTGCTGCTTACACTAGAGCAAATGGCTCTCTAATCAGAAGATTACCGACTGTTTTGCCCAGGAGTTTAACATAACGAAGTATTATCGTCTCACTGTGTGATAGGTAGTGTACCGAGAAAACAATATGTGAAATGCTCTGTTATTTTGTTTTTCATTAGCGAATTGTATTATGAAATTTCAAGTAACGGTAAGCATGGTTTACAGATGTATCCTGACATCCTAGAAATCCTTATGCTCCTTTTTGCCGATGATGTTATTTTACTATCTGACGACCTGTGGAAGATACCCACTTTACATTAATTCGCAAATAAAGTGTTTAGAATATTGGTTTAATATCACCCATATGCCAGAACATTCCGAAAATAGCTTATAACATGCTCTTTCATCTTGATAGTATCGGTAAGGTTACATGGGTATCGCATATAAGGTCACTATTATTCTCACATGGATATGGGGTTGTATGGTTTAATCAATCTGTTGGCGATCTATATCTATTTCTAAATGATTTTCGTAAAGTAGCAATTAAATTGTTCTATCAAGGATGGCAATCCAATTTAGAAAACAGTTCACGTTATGATCTTTACAAAACGTTTAAAACTTTATTAGAGCCAGAAAAACATTTATTAGTTTTAACAAATAGTAACCTAAGAAATATATATATTAAATACAGACTTGGCTTGTCAAAGTTAATGATTAATTATGGACGGAATATATCACTTGAAAGAACCCAAAGAATTTGTCCACTATGTAACTCTGCTATAGAAGACGAAATACATTTTACCTTTGAATGTCCTTATTATGCAGAAATACAAACTAAATATATACCAGAACGTTTCTCATCTAAGCTGAGTAGAATAGGGTTTGTTTCTATTTTGTCATCGAATGATGCCGATGTAATATACTGAGTCAAAAAAGAAACTTCACAAAATGTAATTTGAAAAATAATGAAATTTTTTTCTCTGATGATACATCTATGTATCCGAAATGGGATCCCTATCTTTTTAGCAAAACCCACTCAAACCCATCCATTCGTCGTGCAAATGACGTTAGTGCCAAATCAGGTTTTGCACGTGCAGTCGATCACGTGATCTTCGCATCGAAGTTTTCTTCATATGCACGTGTTTGCATTGGCCTCAAGAGTTGAAAAAACACTTTTAAACCACAGTTCTAACGGTACTTGAAATGCCACGATTGTCAAATGTGCAACGTGAACGTGCCGTTGGCATGTTGCAAGCGGGAAGATCAGTTATTGACGTCGCAAGAGCAATGGGATGCAGCCGTTGTACTGTGTATGACTTGCGAGGTCGTCTACAACAAACTGTCACCACTTCTGATCGCCCAAGGTCTGGTCGTCCACGTGTGACGTCACGAGCAGAAGACCGTCAAATCGTCCTACGTCACCTACGTGACAGATTTCTGCCGGCTACACGAACCAGGGCTGAGATGTTTAGAGGTCGACTGTCCTCACAGACCATTCGAAATCGGTTGCGGGCTGCCAATCTCCATTCTCGACGTCCATATCGTGGGCCAATATTGACGCCGTTTCATCAACGTCAACGTCTGCTGTGGGCCCAACGTCACCTCCGATGGACCCAGAGAGACTGGAATCGAGTCGTCTTTAGCGATGAATCCAGGTTTACCCTCAGATTCGCGGACGGCAGGCATAGAGTCTGGAGACGACGTCGTGAACGGTATGCCCAATGTTGTGTACAGGAAGTCGACAGATTCGGGGGCGGAAGTTGCATGGTGTAGGGTGCTTTCTGTTGGAACAACCGTTCCCGACTTCTGGTCATCCGTGGAAACCTCACAGCTGCTGCTTACAACGACCAGGTGCTTACCCCTGAACTCGTTCCTTTCATGGCGGCTCATGGCCCAGGTCTACAGTTCCAGCATGATAATGCTCGGCCGCATACCGCGATGTTGACACGAAATTTCCTTCAAAACGCTGGAATCAACGTCATGGACTGGCCATTGAGGTCCCCTGACCTTAATCCAATAGAGCACGTTTGGGATGCACTGGGGAGAAGGCTTCGTGGTCTCAGGAACCAACCTCAAAATTTGCAGGAACTTGGCGCTGCCTTGCAAGAGCAATGTCGCAGAATCCCCAACCACGTGTTCACAAGCATCAGGCAGTCGATGAGGAGACGGTGTTTGGCAGTGGTGAATGCGCGGGGCGGCCATACACGATATTGAACTGAGAAATTTCGCATTTTTATTCTTGTGACTTGACATTCTGTATACCCATGTTGTGGAACGGCGGTGTAGCCTAATGGAACTGATTATGGCACTGTCAGTGTATCGAGTACATCACACAGATCTCAGCAATGAAATACTAACAATTTAACTATCTTACCATCTCTTGTTCTTTTATAGTGCCCTGAAGAAAGAATGTGAAGTTTCGTTTTTGACTCAGTATATTTAAATTATCTATATTTGTAAAACATGGAATGGACTTGTTGAATGGGATTTCAGATTTACCTTACTCTAAAAAGTCCTTCTGATTACCGCCAATTGTTAAATGAATGTTATATTTTTATTTTTTCCACTGTATCTACTAATCAGTATATTCTCAACCAGTGTCTTTACGTGAACTTGTATGTGGGCTGATGGCCTTTGATACAATAAAACACCTTTGACTTGACTTGACTGTCCCATTGATAACATATTTGTGACATTTGGGGGTGGAACACTTCGCCAAGAAGTAGACATCGCCATCCCACTGCGGATCTGCTTATATATATGCATATTTAATCATAATTTCTGCTTGGGTTGGCAAAATAAGAACAAGGTAGTTTGAATGATCAAATGACGGTGAAGTTAAATCAAACAGCCAGTTACCTTCCACTGATTTATCCACCTGAGCTTGAAATTAAGGAGACAAGTGAGACCGCCTCAACTGTTTCATATTTAGATCTATGCATTAGAATTCAGAGTGACAAAGAACTCTCCACGAAAAGGGATGATTTCAACTTTCCAATAGTCAACTTCCCTTTCATGTCGAGCAATATTCAAACAGTTCCAGCCTTTGGTGTTTACATTCCACAACTTCTGAGATACAATTAAGCGTGACCTTGTTATCAGGATTGTAATGAGAGTCCTGCCGCTCTTGCTCAGAAGTTGTTTGATCAACGTTTCAACTTTCAAGACATCAGTAAAGCTTTGAAGACGTTTTATGGTAGTCATGCGGAGGAAATTTCCAAATTTAATGCATCAGTGACAAAAATGATGTTGACTTACACCGCGAATTATTTCAGGGGAACAATTAATTGGACTTAGCATATGTTTATGACGGGTGCCACCGGTGGGGCAGGATACGCCCACCTTTTCGCGAACACCTGGTATCATCTCTATTTCATAGTGATTTATAAACACATGCTCTGTCATCGTAAAACACTGGATTGTCTGGTCCAGACTCTATTTGTATACAAACTACATCGTAAAGCTGTAATAATGCTGAAACAAATTATTGTCGCTTCTATTGTAATACTGGATGGTATACAACCTCTTGTGGCTAAAATGATGATGTAAATCATGCTAGAATGTAGCGTACGAAGCTGAGGCACCTTACGTCCTAAGGGTTGAAAGGACCTTTTGAAATATCAAAATATCTTTCTTTATCATCCAAAACTGTGTTCCACGGGAGATATCGCTTGTGTGAGATCAAACGATATCGTTTTGACAGTAGATTTTGTACAATGCCCTGACAATGCTATGACGTCATGTACTTGATGACGTCATAATGCTATGACGTTGCTGCACTTCAAGTCTAATGGCAGTACTGTGTTCAGAGATGTACATTTTTCCTTGAAAATTAATGAAGAGTGATTTTGGATGATAAATATAATCTCACCCTCGTATCTTCTGATATCAAATATATCAACACTCGTTGATAAAAGTTAAAATATCCTCAAATATTTGTAACTTGATCAACTCGTGTTGATATAATTGATATCAGAAGATACCAGGGTGAGATTCTCTATATATGTCTATGTCTGTATGTCAAGATAGGGAATTGCTTCCTACATCATTTTTGACAGATATGCTTCAAATTTGTAAAATGCAATAAAGATTGCGTTGTTTCATACACGCCTCTATCACGACAGACGATGCTAATAGTAAAGATAACAAATACTGAACTATATCTAATCTATAAAGAGTTTGGTACATGAGCACTATGTCAATTATGGTCCGGAGCATGACAATTTTGCGAAAGAATATTCTTGAAAAGTGTTAAAACTTCAGACCTAGTGTGCTAGTGTAAATAACCGTTTAACTGTCATGCGATAAACTGGTAGTCGCAACGTACAGATATCTGCTTTGACGAGGACAACACTAACTCTCTGAATGCAGCGTAAGGCAGAGAGACAATAAACAACTTGCTTTAACCAACAACAAGTTTCTTTTATGACGTTCTGACGGAAGGGTGATAAAACTAATGCACTCGAAGTATCTTACAATTATATCATTGAAGAAGCAGGTAACAGAAAAAAAGAAATTGATGGATTGAAATATTTATTGCTGAAATAATACAGAAACTATAGTTTTTTTGCTGCATAATCATACCGATTAAATGTAAAATTAATGCAAAGCCTAAAGCAGCTATTTGTTTTAGATGCAACAAAGTTGCTGAACAAACTATCAAGTAGTTGTTTTTGTTCTAATACCTTTGTAACGTGCTGTTCAATAATGTTGGCTTCACATTACTTTAAAATTGTCCAAGTACATAAGCATTATGCTGTGTACCAGGTACAACAAATACATGACTGTATACAACTCAAAATGGAATCCACTCAAGCAAAATATTTCCAGTGCTATTGAACTGCATCTTCTGAACAAAGAAACATACAATGTCTCAGACTGGATGCGTGGCTGATGACGATCATCAGACCATGATGCCTGGGTCGCACCTGTAGACGGACACCTGAAACATGATGAGCTCATCAACAAACTCGTCAAACCATTTTTGTCGAAAGGTAAAAATGAAAGTTAATAAGAGCTTATTGTTATTTTACAGTGGTATACGAGTTCAACGAGGGCTGTGTTGTGAACTTTAGTTAGTATGGTATGGCAGTCCAGGACATGATCTTATGATTCGGGGGTAACACTGGACTGACACACCAGACTCATTAAAGTTCATAACACAGTCCTCGTCGAACTCGTATACCACTGTAACTAAACAATAAGCGCTTACAATGATAAATTCGAAATTCAATGTCCAGGACATCAGCTTATGACACGAAGGTAACACTGGACTGTGACACCAACTCAGCATCAGGACCAGGGCCCCGTTTCACAAAGCTCTCGTAAGCCTAAGGTCTCGTAACTTTTCTCGTAGCATTCGTACTTCCCATACTATAACACAGGAACTTCGAATGCTACGAGGAAAGTTACGAGACCTTAGGCTTATTATGACAAGGGTGGAACTGGACTGCCACGCCAACTGAGCATCAGGAACCAGGACCTGATATTATGACAAAGGTGGAACTGGACTGTGACACCAACTCAGCATCAAGACCTAGGGTCTAATATTATGACAAGGGTGGAACTGGACTGTGACACTAACTCAGCATCAGGAACTAGGACCTGATATTATGACAAGGGTGGAACTGGACTGCCCTCAGCATCAGGAACCAGGACCTAATATATTGACAAGGGTGAACTGGACTGCCACGCCAGCTCTCGGCATCAAGGAACCAGGACCTGATATTATGACAAAAGGTGGAACTGGACTGCCACGCCAACTCAGCATCAGGAACCAGGACCTGCCAAAGATGGATATTATGCCGCGATATTATGACAAAAGGGTGGAACTGGACTGCCACGCCAACTCAGCATCAAGAACCAGGGACCTGATATTATGACAAGGGGTGGAACTGGACTGCTACACCAACTCAGCATCAAGACCTAGGACCTGATATTATGACAAGGGTGGAAACTGGACTGCCACGCCAACTCAGCATCAGGAACCAGGACCTGAAGGGTGGAACTGGACTGTGACACTAACTCAGCATCAGGAACTAGGACCTGATATTATGACAAGGGTGGAACTGGACTGCCACACCAACTCAGCATCAAGACCTAGGGTCTAATATTATGACAAGGGTGGAACTGGACTGCCACGCTAACTCAGCATCAGGAACCAGGACCTGATATTATGACAAGGGTGGAACTGGACTGCTACACCAACTCAGCATCAGGAACCAGGACCTGATATTATGACGAGGGTGGAACTTGACTGCCACACCAACTCAGCATCAAGACCTAGGACCTGATATTATGACGAGGGTGGAACTGGACTGCTACACCAACTCAGCATCAAGACCTAGGGTCTAATATTATGACAAGGGTGGAACTGGACTTCCACGCCAACTCAGCATCAGGAACCAGGACCTGATATTATGACAAGGGTGGAACTGGACTGTGACACCAACTCAGCATCAAGACCTAGGACCTGATATTATGACGAGGGTGGAACTGGACTGCTACACCAACTCAGCATCAAGACCTAGGGTCTAATATTATGACAAGGGTGGAACTGGACTTCCACGCCAACTCAGCATCAGGAACCAGGACCTGATATTATGACAAGGGTGGAACTGGACTGTGACACCAACTCAGCATCAAGACCTAGGACCTGATATTATGACGAGGGTGGAACTGGACTGCTACACCAACTCAGCATCAAGACCTAGGGTCTAATATTATGACAAGGGTGGAACTGGACTTCCACGCCAACTCAGCATCAGGAACCAGGACCTGATATTATGACAAGGGTGGAACTGGACTGTGACACCAACTCAGCATCAAGACCTAGGACCTGATATTATGACGAGGGTGGAACTGGACTGCTACACCAACTCAGCATCAAGACCTAGGGTCTAATATTATGACAAGGGTGGAACTGGACTGCCACGCTAACTCAGCATCAGGAACCAGGACCTGATATTATGATACGGAGGTAACACTGGTTTGTGACACCAACGTATGACACGGATCATCCCTACATCAGAGATTACTTACCCTTCCTATATCTCCAACGAATGGCTTGCCGGGTTTGCTCGAAGCATCCGATCCAATCGTCAGACCGTCTGACAAGAGGTTAGTGTTTTCGACTGCAGAAAATAAATTAGATGTACTTTTTAGATGCGAGTGTATGGTTGTGCATGTTACTGTGAGTGTATGTGTGTACATGTTACTGTGAGTGTATGTGTGTGCATGTTACAGTGAGTGTATGTGTGTGCATGTTACAGTGAGTGTATGTGTGTGCATGTTACTGTGAGTATGTGTGTACATGTTACTGTGAGTGTATGTGTGTGCATGTTACTGTGAGTGTATGTGTGTGCATGTTACTGTGAGTGTATGTGTGTGCATGTTACTGTGAGTGTATGTGTGTGCATGTTACTGTGAGTGTATGTGTGTGCATGTTACTGTGAGTGTATGTGTGTACATGTTACTGTGAGTGTATGCGTGTGCATGTTACTGTGAGTGTATGTGTGTGCATGTTACTGTGAGTGTATGTGTGTGCATGTTACTGTGAGTGTATGTGTGCATGTTACTGTGAGTGTATGTGTATGCATGTTACTGTGAGTGTATGTGTGTGCATGTTCCTGTGAGTGTATGTGTGCATGTTACTGTGAGTGTATGTGTATGCATGTTACTGTGAGTGTATGTGTGTAAATGTTACTGGGAGTGTATGTGTGTGCATGTTATTCTGAGTGCATGTTACTGTGAGTGTATGTGTGTGTATGTGGGACATCCACTGAGGTAAGGAGAAGGCTCATACAACACTCCGTCAATGAACTTGACGTTGTTGGTTTGCATGTATGTGTAAATGTGTGTACTTGTTTGTGTGAGAGTATCTGTGAATATGTATGCATGTGTATTTGTGTCTGTATGTATGCGTGTACGCATGTATATGCTTGTATGTGTGTATGTGTGAATAAGTTTGTGTAAGTGTGTGTGTGTATGCGTGTTTATGTTTGTGTGAGCATATGTGTGTGTGTATGTGTGTGGACATCTATTAAGGTAAAGAGAAGACTCACTCAACACTCTGTCAATGAACTTGACGTTGTTGTTCATGACGGTGCCAACCAGGTATTTGCCCGTATACATCACACTCACTGTCCTCCACTGGCCTTGAGGCATGCCCTGGAAACAGAACCCATCAAATTAGATTACTGTAAAGGGAAAAAAGCGGTGACTATTATTTGAGGATATACTAGATATCAGATATGACACAGGGTTTTCGCGAAAGGGTTAGCATGTCCTGACCTAATGGTAGCAGCCACCATTCACAAAATGTCCCTAAAAATGAAAGTATTTTTGCCTGAAGCTGCACAGCAGAGCCCCTGCCATGCAATGGCGCGGTGTAAACAAACCAGACAATCAAGTGATCGATGAATTCCAGTTGGATGACGTACATAGATTATGGAGATCAGTAATCATGTCATGTCAGTTTATCGTACTAATTCAACTACATATCAGCCGCAAATCGTTCAGTGACTATGTTCAGTTTCTCTTATTGGGTAGTGGGGTCGCCTAATGGTAACATCATCAGTACTGCTCGTCATGTTGAAGACAGGGCTCGGTTCCCCACTTCAGTACAATGTGTGATACCCATTTCTGGTGTATCCCGCCGTGATGTTGCTGGAATGTTCCTAAAAGCGGCTTAAAACCATACTCACTCACTGATTCCACGGCCTTCATCAGTTCTTCAAGTCCGCAGCCCAAAAGGCGTGATAAAATGAGACAGCTGTTTTCAGGGGTTCTAAACAACTCTCACATCTCATATGTATTCTATCCACGGTTGCATAATATTATGTACTAAAATAGAAAACATGAATATGCACAAAAAATTGAAGAAATACATGGAAATACTCACATCTGTGGACAGCATTATCCTGGTAACATCTCCATACCATGAGGTGACAGAGATGGTGACGCCCTTTGGGTCAGTTGACACTACAAGTCGGTTCTTGCTGCTGGCTAACACACGGCTTTCGTTGGCCATGACAATGTCCCTGTACGTGAAGTTGAACACTATTGGGCTGTCAGCGACGGTCATCGTGATGTCAAGATGCACTTTACTCGTGTTGGTGAGTGACAGAGCTCCTGCCTTGTTGTTAACGCGCTCCAGAACCATCCACGACGGTCTGGTACCCGCCACGAAGACGTAGCTGGCTGCACATGTCTCTGAAATAATGTCAAGTACAAGTGATAGCTTTATTATAGTTTGTTGTTTAACGCCGCTCTCAGCAGTATTCCAGCTATATGGTGGCGGTCTGTAAATAATCAAGTCTGGACTAAACAATCAAGTGACCAACAACATGAGCATAGATCTTTTCACTTGGGATTCAATGACATGTGTCAACAAAGTCAGCCAACCTGATCAAACTATCCCGTTCGTCGCCTCTTACAACAAGCATGGGTTGCTGAAGAACTATTGTGACCCGGATCTTCACGGGTCATATCGTTCACTAGTCTAACTGTAGTTGTAGTTTGTTTACAAACAACACCGTACAGATGTAAAACTGCTAAAACAAACAAATACTCATGATATAGTCACAATTGTACAATCGACTCCGCATTTAGCAGAGATTTTTGTTATGAATGTGGGAAAGGTTTTGTCGCTTCTATTGAGAAACGTTTGCACACATGTTACCAGTATTAGGAAAGGAGTCTGTAGAAAACGTAACTCCCTCCCCAACAAGCTGCATGCAAATTAATGGCAATATGTTCTATCGCAGTAATGTTTTCTAGCAGCGAGCGGTTTCTACACTGAGCACACAATAACTGGAGACCTTGGAGTCACACTACGCTCTGAATATATGTAATTGCTACTTTGTGAACGAACGTCCTTTTTGGAAACGTGAAACGAAGAGGGTGACGCTACTGTTGTTGTTGCTTTATATACGAATGTCTTATGAAGAAATAAAACAGTAAAAGAGAAACAATCGTACGGTTTGCATCTGTGTTTCGGGGCTACGTCAGTGAACAACCACGCGGTAAATAGCATCAATTCTTCGTCGTCTAAACGCCCACGAAGACAAAACATATGATCTAGATTGTGTAAATGCTGCACTGGTGTCAACAGTTTCCTAGGAATTTTCTGTAAATTGTTGGCAATGTGTACGTCTTGCCGTTTCCTATAAATGACAATTGCAATTGAACTTCTTTCACATATTCTACACTCAAAATATACGATCATTTTTCCTTCAGTCAGAGACGCTGATGAGAATTTAAAGAGATGTTCGGCCTTGGTGCTATTATTGAGAACTACGGTAAGTTTTATACAATAGATTTTAGCATTGTTGAATTACACAATAGTCTAACGAAGTTTGGCAAATGTCTTTCGCATATGACAATGCACAATCTTCTTTGGGCGTATTCGTTAAAACTGGACAATTTGCAAATATTTATTTGTAAGCAAGCCGTGCTTTAATGTTCTACCATTCAGACAGAAGTTTTCATTCACAGAAATTATATCTTATTGAAACAGACGCATTGTCAGTAATCATTTTGAAACAGCCGTAATGACACTTTTTGTTCAGAAAACCGTTCCTGATCAAGAAGAGTAGTGAGTGAGTATGGTTTTACGCCGCTTTTGGTAATATTCCAGCAATATCATGGCTGGGGACGCCAGAAATAGGCTTCACACATTGTACCCATGTGGGGAATCGAACCCGGGCCTTCAGCGTGACGAGCGAACGCTTTAACCACAAGGGTACCCACCGCCCCTCAAGAAGAGGAGAAAAGAAATCGATTGCGTGAGTTCATAACAAATATTTGGGTACCGAGAAAAGCAAAAGGACTGGTACTATTTTCTCTCGTACGTCTAACATGATTCTGGCACAGTAAGAACCACTGTGCTTTGTACAAGTGACATGATCTTACCTGTACAGTATTCTGTACATTCACATTCCAAGAGGTTGAAATACGTGTTTTCAGGACAGGACGTAGACCGCCAGCCTAGGTTCCCAAACGATATGTTGTATGTAGTTGCGTTGTTCCAGTTTGGATGCTTGTCACATACATCTAGGGCAGAATATATAGAAAGAGAAATTATGCTTGCATTGCGCATAGTAGAAGTCCCATTAATATAACGATTAATGTTACGATGATAATTTTCGCAACCTTTTCATCTTACAGGATATCGGAATAGGGACAAACACGATTTGCACTGAATCAGACATCTTAAGCCGATTTGGCAACGTTCCAGCTATATCCTGTAGTCTAAAACAAAATTACACTTTGAATGTTGTTTGTTTGTTGAGCAACGCCGCGCTTAGCACTATTCCACCTATATGGAGGCGGTTTGTAAATAATCGAGTCTGGAACAGACAACCCAGTGATTAACAGCATGAGCATCGATCCAAAGAATTTGGATATCATGACATGTGTCAACAAAGTCAGCCAACCTGATCAACCTATCCCGTTCGTCGCCCCTTACGACAAACACGGGTAACTGAAAACCAATTCCAACCCGGATCTTCACGGGCCACTTTCTATGTAATACGAATCAGCACCGTACCTTCAGTGCAAATAGCGAGATCTTAATCAAAAGTTAATCATCAAGTTATGATTTTTTCTATGGCTTCTGAAATATATATCATGGTTCGAGATTTGTTGACGTACGTCAAAATTGTCCAATTTTTTAACTTCTTCTGAATCGCTAACAAACATGATTAAAGCTGTGTCGCTAAAGTCTTTATTTACCCCTCGAAACGTAGGCGGAGGGGCAGAGATCGTTACAGGTGTAGTTAGGGAGGCATCCATCCCCTGGGGAGAAGCTTAAACCTCTGGGGCAACACTTGGCTACGGATTTTCCTTCTTCGCACTTCCAGTAGGATCTGCAGCTTCCCGACATCTTGTAGCTCGATCCGCAGGATCCTTTACATCGCTCTGAAATCAAACACAACGGTAATCCATTGAACGTCGATTCGCGTGACCGGAACAGCAAGAGCCAGACAAAGACATTTCAGAACCTGAACACCTGTTTACGTATTGTTTGCATTTTCATTTTGAAACCTTGCGATATTATTTTCTGAAATGTGTTTCCATATTTGCCTTGTAGGTCAATCAATACTGAACACTGGAGGCTGGTTTTGACCTTTGAATCATGCTCATCAAATAATTACTTACGTAAACCTATATACTTCCAAGTAGTAGCAGTCTAGATCGACAATAACCGTACAAACTGATATGCATGAATATGTAATGTTGAATGAACAATGGAGGTGATGTGAGGTGAAATTGGGTTTTAACGTCGTGCTTGAGAATATTTCGCTCATATGACGACGTGCATGCGTGTGTATGTGTATGTGCGGCTGCTTGTACTAGCCCAGACTTAAGCTGGTTTTATAGTGCTGGCTCACTGAGATACCATGCCGCAGTGAAGCATGATGACCCCACTCAGACACATTATACTGACTCCGAGCCGACCAGTCCTTGTTATACACATTAATGACGAGCGCCAGGCAGGGACCAACAAGTACCATATTTTAACGTCTTTTGGTATGACGCTGTCGGGGATCGAACCCGCGACCTTCCGCTCTCCGGGCGGACGCTCTAACCACTACACCACGGAGGTGGTCGAATGAACAATGGAAGTATTTCATATACAGCTGTGTGTTGCATTGGGAGTGAGTGCGTTTAGTTTTACGCCGCACTCGGCAATATTGCAGCTATATGGCGGCGGTCTGTAAATAATGTTAATTCGACCTGTTAAAGACCCGTGAAGATCCATGTGCGTGAGTGGGATGTGACGCCGGATGATTGGTTGGTTGGTTAACTTTGTTTAACGCCGCATTCAGCAATATTCCAGCTATATGGGGATGTCTGTAAATAGTCTGGACCAGATAATCCAGTGATCAAAAGCATGAGCATCGATATACGATGACATGTGTCAACCAAGTCAGTGAGCCTGACCACCCTCTTACGACAAGCATGGGTTATTGAAGATCAATTCTAACCCTGATCTCCACGTGTATCTTCACTGTGGTCAGACATACATAGACATATGTACCGAGTTTAACGCAAGAGAAGATGATCCATACTTTAATGAAGAGTAATGGCCAGGGGATTGTCCCGTTGTAGTGATTGCAATGAAAGGACCATACAGTCATTGTTCAGTATTTTGAGTGTATTGAGTGTGCAATGGCGTTAAACATGAAACATTTACATTGTAACATGACCGTACTTACCTAAAGGACAGGACACCCTCCACGATTCCATGCACCTTAATGAGTCTTGGTTCCAGAAGTAGCCGAAAGAGCAGCTTCTGTAGACGCCGATGGCGTTGCCATTGGGATTGTAGTAACACTGGATGTACTTTTCACAATCAGTGGGGTGGTAACGGTAGCCGACTCCGTAATATTTCCTCACGTCGTCACATACGGCCGTCACTGAACATTCAAATTTATCTGTTAATATTTTATTTAATTCAAACGAAAAACAATCAAGATTCACAAGAAATCTCTACCAAGAACAAAGTCTATTGTACTATTTCGCTTATATCATGAGGATGAGTTTATGATTGGTGAAAGGTGAGAGTATCATGCCCGATAGTACCCAGTACCTGACATAAACACGCACAAAGTCTAGTTAGTTGTTCACGTGAAAAACGTTTTAAAACAATTTTCCTTAACGGATCAAACAAATATTCATATCAATAAGACACATTCCACCATATCCAAGACATTTCTTTTCGGAAAGAAAACAAAAAAATCTACCCTCTACTAAGTATGTACGATGTTAGCCCCAAGAATTCTTATTGGGAATATGTTTTTAATATTTGTGTTTCTATATAACCCATACCATTTCAGGTAAAACACATAAAACATAGGGGTGATAAGGTTTTGTTAATAAGGTTGTTGGCAACAATCCCTGCTTCATTGATCGCACACACAGCCATTACAGAAAGATGTACAATTCACTGTGAATACCTGGACATTCTGGCACTGTGCAGATCTGGTTCATGGTGTCGTTCCTCGGTCCACTGCAGTCACGCCCACCGTTTGCAGGGGCGGGGTTGTTGCAGAAACGTTGCCGGGTCAGCGTACGGGACACGTTCCTTCCACACGTAGCCGGGCAGGGGGGGAACTGCCCAAGTCGTCCATTGACTGAACCCGCCTTGAACCTCACCTGTAACATGATGACAAGGTCCATGTGTGATCACGGTGACATATTCCATGGTCAGGTAAGTTAGGAAAGGTTGGGTAAGATAAATTGGTAGGTATAATGCTAAATATGGAGGTAGGTCAGGAGTGGAAAGATGGATAGGTGGATGCGTTTTTGTAGAGGTGTATCCGGGTTAGAATTCATCCTAGTAATCCATGCTTGTCGTAAGAGGCGACTAACGGGATTGGATGGTCAGGAGTGCTGACTTGGTTGACCATGTCATCGTATCCCGATTGCGTAGATCGATGCTCATGTTCTTGATCACTGGATTGTCTGGTCCAAACTTATTATCAACAGACCGTCGGCATATAGCTGGAATATTTGCGGCGTAAAACTAAGGTCAGCCACTCACCTGTAGGGGTGTACGTGTTTGTTGTGAAGGTTGACAAATGCAAGACTAGTGTTTGAATAGGAAGGTTAGGTGTATACTTATCTAAGGTATAGGTGAATAGGTGGAAAGATCCATAGTGAAGTATCTGGGGCATAGGTTACTAGGTGAACATATTCATGAAAAGGTGTATCAATCAGGGGACTGGGAGAGAAGCCAGGCACATCCATGTCTCGATTGTAGGTGAGAAGCTGGCCATCTTCTACGTAGATGGGCAAATGTCTAGGACGTAGGTGAATACAAATCCATGAAGAAGTAGAACACTCTCGGGAGAAAGTTACAATGTGGGCACATGCATGTGGAACTGTTCCTAGCCTCTGAGTAATGTATGTATCAGGGCCTGAAACGGTGGCCAAGCTTATTAACATACCTGGGCAAAGAGGCAGCCCGCATGTCTTCACTTCAGTCTCAACGGAGAAACCCTGACATGGACGTCCACCATTACCTGGCATCGGATTCGTACATGTTCTCCTTCTGGAAACTCGACCCATAGCACCTGATCCACACGTGGCATTACACTGAGGAGCCGACCACACAGTCCACAATGACCAGCCGCCATCAACTACAAAACCGTCAAACCAGGTTTCAACCCATGACACAGTTTTCTCTTCCTATATTTATAGTCTTAATGTGACAAATATAAAATGTATGATATTTAAAAATATACTTCTATGCATCTAAATCTACTTTAACCATGAAGGTTCACCCAACATAAACTGACAGCACTACTCAGATTAAAATTTCAGAACCAATGTTTCCAAAGTTTACACTACTATCACATCAGCCAAATAGTCGAACTATAGAGAATGCATACCGGTGATCATTCACGGCAATCGAAAACACCGGATAACTTAATGTCAGTCATTAATCAGTAGTGCCTTACATTCGACAGAATTGAACCCCAAAGAAAAAGAAAAGCCTAATCGTCTCTTCAAATAATATTTGACATACGAAAAGACAAAAATATGGATGTCAACTTCTTTATTGTGAATAACACGATGTTTCGGAGTGTAAGCTTGCTCCATCATCAAGCATGCACTCCGAAAAATCGTGTTTTTCACAATAAAAATGTTGACATCCATAAATATTTCTTTTCTTATGCATTCCACTTCTAAATGCCCTTCACAGATTTGATATTACATGTTATTAATGTAACTTAACACAATGAAAAGACTCAATTACGTAAAGACAGGTTATGAACAGTTTCACTGAATCCAGATGCAGTATTCAGGTACTTACTTGGGCAAAGATTAAGACCACAGTTCCTCCTCAAATCGTCCTCACTCTTTCCAGAACATGGGCTTCCGTTAAGCAAGGGTGCTGGGTTGGTGCATGTTCTTCTCCTGGTGATGTTCCCCATAGCGAGAGGGCCACAAGTCTCCGAGCACTCGACGCTAGACCATAGACCCCAGCTTGACCAGATTCCATTTACTACAATCAGATATTACTCATCTTTCTCTTTGCGATGGATATGTTATGTGGGAGACCTACGTATGGCATAACGTATAGTCACTATTCTCGGATTATCAACATACTTGAATTGAGATCATCTAAAAATACCAACATTTATCAATGTCGTAGAATTTATAAATATTAAGGACACCTGAGACAAATATTAAAATGGTATGAGTTATATTAATATAGAATGAATATTACAACTGGAATAGTAACATATGGGTAGGATGTACATCAATATCATCAAAGTGTCTTCACTTAAAGAAGTCAAAAAATAATCTAATGCACTTACCAGCTCCTTGACAAACACGTTCGGTTATGCCGTTTAAAGAGTTGTTCAAACCATTAAAGTTTGTGATTTGAAATGCAGTAGCATTCGAGGAGGCAATAGACAGTATTTCCGCCTGAAAACGTTGTATAAATATTGGGACGGTGATGCCGCTGACGCCAACAGCAAACATTGTTATCCCGGAGTTCTTCGCTTCAGAAGCAGCAGCTCGAGTTTGCTCTGGGAAATTGGACATGCCGTCAGTTATTACAACCATCACCCGAGGAATGCCAGAGGTGTCTTGATTTAGGTGCAGCATACCTCGCCGAATGCCCAGATGAGTGCTTGTTCCACCGCTGGGTTGCGACAGTGAATTAATGGATGATTGGAGACCATTAATACTGCTAGAGGCATTGATAACATCAGTCACATTATTACTGAAAACCACAACTCCAACTTGCATATTGCCGTTTCTGGAAATGGTGCTGGAAACAAAATTTCTTAACGCGTCCTTGACGAGTTGGAATTTTTCAAAACTGACACTCTCTGATCCGTCAACGACAAAATAGACGATGGCTGCAGCGCAACCTACAACAAAAGAAGATTGTTAAAGGAAAACATTTGGAAATCCTTGCCTTTCTTGTTGAACATGTAAGAGTAACGGGCACAAAGGAATTGTTCCTGACTTTGACCTAAATACTTGAATTTGAATAATCAAGCAAAAGGCTAGCATGCCATAATAACCAGTCTTACTATATGCAACGGCCTTAGTCCCCTACACATTTACTTTTCAATCCAAATTTCATTTTGAAAGAGTTAGTGAAAGGCGGATCATGTTTAACACTTTGAAACTGAAACAACTGCAATTCTCACTAGCGGATCAAGATTTCGCTGAAACCGGGAATTGTTTTCTGTTTATTTAGTATGATTTTGCATTACGAGTGCTAGATACGTTTATTAATGTCAATACAGTTTTAACAGTGAACAGAATGGTTATTGCATACTCCAAAGTGGACAATATATATAGAATTGTCATTCTTTCAGGTGATTCATATCAATTCCTGTTCACATATCAAATGATGTGAACTGAGCGGCTACCTAGAAAATCCTTTTTTTCCTGGTGTAATCAACTATTTGTAAGAGTATGGAAATACCCAAATATTCTTGGTCTCCTCCATCGTGGATATTTTCATTTGCTGCCTGAAGCTAATTAGAAGTACTCCAACGTTTGGTAATGGGTTACATACACGCGTACATCTCCATTATCCATTGACCAACTGCATATGCTGGATATAAAGACACCTGCTACAAGAGAGTCGCCCATCCTTTGCCCCTGTCATGACATCTTACCAGAACAGCTGGGTAGGTTACAGCTCCTTGTTGCTGTCTGAACGGCCTGTCCAACGCATGATTCACCGCCATTCTGAGGTATTGGATTTGTACACGTTCTAACCCTTTGCGCGACCGTGGAGAAACTTCCACAGGACCTTGAGCATGGAGGGTTGTCCCACTGAACCCATGCCGTCCAGCCGCCATTAACTGCAAGCCCAAAAAATTGTATCGATGTAAAACTGAAAAAAATGCCTAACAAAATATTGATGGCTGATATCATCGAACACAATATGCATCCTTTTAACCAGACTTACACCAGTGTGCATATAGAAAACACCGATCCAAAGGAAGCCGAAAAATAACAAGAACATATAATCTGAATATATTCTTTCAATCGATTCACGGGGTAGTCCAGTGGTTAAAGCCATCGATCGTCAAGCCGGAGATCTGGGTTCGATTCCCCACATTGGCCCAATTTGTGAAGCCAATTTCTGGTGTCTCCTGCGGTTATGTTGCTGGAATATTGCTAAAAATGAGGCTAAACCCAACTCGCTCACTTACTCACTCAATCGATTCACATCCAGTTATATGATATCTGGAAAGTCGATACCCTCAAAGATGTGAACAAAGCGTTTATCAAAAAGAGGGAACCCTGTGCTTTGTTCCACTATTAGGCCATATCAAAATCAGCAGTGTACAGGTACCCAGTCGCTCGTGAAGGTGTCAAGACCGATAAACATGTGCCCCAATACCAAGTATGTAGAATTATCTCAAATGAGGATCGGATGGCAGCAAGGTGTAACATAATGTGTCCTCAGTGCTGTTTCATTTGCGTTATATACCTTGAAACTTGATGACAGTGGCACAATACAACATATACTCGATCACACTTAAATTATGTGACATATCATTTGGGTTTGGTCAGACAGATTAATCTTTTCTTGAATCCAGTAATCTTAATGACAAGCTGTAACCTTGTGGACACATTTAAAGATAGAACTGTCGTTGAGGGAAAAGGTTATCTGCAAAATAACCATTGATACATATCCTGATGTTGCTGTGTATCGTATAAGAAAGAGTATTTCAGTGTGCCTCAAAACCCTTTTAACATGAAGCCTCGAGGTTTCTGGAGCATTTAGTTTTAATTATGCCCAATTTCAGACCATATCAGAAAGAATGTTTTCTGTTTTAATGCCCGTTGGATGTGAAAAATGTATATGTCTTGCCATTAAAAACATCAACAAATATATCTGTGGTGCACACTCGTCTCATTCATAAACCAAATCGCAGAGTTAAATGGTATTGCTCCTACGTGGACAGTTTCCTAGAGAACAGACTCTTTGGGACGCCTCCTGTTTGGTCTCTGGACAGTCTACTCCACCGAACTGTGGAGCTGGCCGCGTGCATGTCCTGCTTCTGGTCAGGGTCCGAACTCCTTGTCCACATGTCACCGGACAAGAAGGGACACTCCACTGACTCCACTCTGATATTCCTCCATTGACTACAACAGAATCAACACAACCTTGATTGTGACTGACGTACTATATTATCTTAGCTCCAACATTACCCAAAGGAAACAAGATCGCCATTTTGCAGAAACGAAGATGACCAATAAAGTAGGGCCACATTGTACATGTTGGGATTTGAACATAATAGCGTGTGACGTTGAATTGAGATTTGAATTGAGAAAACCTAAAGGTTAATTATGAAACACATATTTCATAAAGAACAATGAAATGCCCAACACCTGAGAAACTCAATAGGCAATGAAGATGGTTTTGATAAAGGTGCACATAAAATCGTAGCATATGATCTTAGACAATGTACATGAGGTTCTGACAGAGACGTTTTATAGTAAAGCTTTGATAAAATAGGTTATTAAGGAGGATTATTTCCTGTTATATATTTAGACAAAAATGGCTTAAAGTGCCAAGCAGATCTTTCAAACAAAGATTACCATACTTGGATAGTGGTACTAGTTAGTTTAACTATGACTTTCAACCAGATCTTCATATACTCATGCCAATAATGGTTGTCACCCCCTTCAATTTTTTTAATTGGAGAGGAGGTGTGGGGTGGGGTGTGAGGTGTGTGGGGGTTAGGTGGGGAGGGGGTGACAACCATTATTGGCATGAGTATATTTCACTTTGTCCACAGACAGGTAATATCATCAGTTTTATATCCTTGAGGGGAGAACCTTTTGTGGTGCTATGATTGTCAGGGAAACAACTTGAGAAAGAAGAAGGAAGTCAAACGGTTTCCATTAAACTCTACATGTTTGCAGTGATCATTTTACACAGGGGTAGGCTAGTTTGACTATGAACGTGTGATGAAGCTATTAGAGTAATGTCGATTCATAATATAATAACCATAAATTATCGACCACTGTAATAGCTATACCCGTTTACAATACGACTGTCCTAATGATATGGGCACTTCATGGATCTAGTTTTGCCAGCCAGTATTCAACCTTTTAGACCATAACCCATTAACGATATCATGCAATTGTAGTCTTTAAATCAAACTAGTTAACATTATGGCACTACCTGGGGTCCTACCTCTGAAGATCGATCCGGGTTAGAATTGACCTTCGTAAGAGGCGACTAACGGGGTCATCGTATCCCAGTTGGGTAGATCGAGGCACATGCTGTAGATCACTGGATTGTCTGGTGTAATGCGGTGTAAAACTAAACTCACTCACCTGGGGTCCTAACGATGAGCAGTCCTTGGCTGGACATCCCCATTACAGTGTAGATATACCTCCCAGCGTCTTCAGCTGTCACACCATTGATGGTCAGCATATGGATGTCCCCTCAATAGAGATGGCCGTCCTCGACGTGTGAGTCAAGGTGCTGAAAGCAGTTCCAGATAGCTTGTTCCAAACACCAAGCTGGGTCTGCCCAGGTAGTGACACTTGCAGAGTGACAGTCGCCCCTATGTAAGTCTCTGGATTGTTTGCCAAAATCCGTACGTCTGAAAACAATCCAGTCTGTGAGCGAACATCTATACATCAAAATGATTTGATAATTGCATTTTATTAGATTTTTTAGACAACTTGTATGTATTTGAGCTTTCTGGATGGCAGTTATCTATCCATTCCAACAGACCAGCTAGTATGGTTATCATATTGTTCTAGCATGGATAGTTTTCGTTCATTCAAATTATCTAAAACGGTTATTGCAAATTTTAAATAAAATCTTTCACGCCTCACAACAATGTAAAATATGCTAAGGCGAGGACATTGTACATCTGAACAAACACAAGGACAAATGGAACAAAAGAGACGATGATGTTGGTCAGTAATATGCCATTTCCTGAATGATCTCAACATGTCTTACATAATGCAGTTACCAATTTTCTAAGGCCTTGTCCGTTTCATTCATTCAACATCCTTACAAAAGAAACAGACTCACAAACAGACTCTGCTTGTTGTGAAGGTGAAAATAACTTTACTCTTAAAAAAAAGAAACTTGACATTGGACAAATTTGAATGTTAGGAAAATATTTGACACAATCCAATCCATGCTGAATCCCAGCATGTTGGGGAATGGTTGCCGACGACAGAATTTGAAGAAAGAAACGTTTAACAAAAACGTAACGTTACATTCACGTCTGTAGTGTATCGCTAAAACGCACCCTACATGTAATGCACGAGCATCATGAAATTGTGTATCACCCTGCGATGAAGCATATGACGGTATGCTTTAAACAGCCACATCAATGATACCCCCCCACACGCATTGCTTTAAGCCACTATAGACGACAAGAGAATTAAAAGACTGACAGAATCTCAACGACACAACGCCATCGGCCGTTTACAAGGACGGACATCGCAGCATGATGTGGCAATGCACTTCAGCGTGTCCGGACAGACCATCTCAAACCTATGGACCCGATACAAAAATACTGGGATTGTTAATGACAGACCCAGGTCAGGTCGACCTGGAGTTACCACCGCCGCCCAGGATCGCCAGATCCGGTTTAGACATTTTCGTTCAAACACCACGGCCGCATCATCCACAACAATCCAAATCCCTGGACTGCTCCGAATCTCCGACCATAGAGTGAGCAACTGGCTATGGAAAACCAGACTTTTTGCCAGAAGACCAGTTCAACGTCACGTCGTTCCCTACATCAACGTTACCTTTGGCGCATGACAATGCTCGACCTCACGTTGCATATGTTTGACATTTCTTCCTCCAGCAATGTTCAGTTGTTACCCTGGCCTTCTCAATCACCGAATTTGTCCACCGTTGAACATCTATGGGATACTCTTGATCGACGCAAGCGCCAGCGTAATCCGCCACCTCAGACACTACAAGAACTGCACATAGCACTTCAGCAAGAGTATCAAAACATTCCTCAAGATAGCATTCGGCATCACCTTTCTTCTATGGGTCACCGCTGCCAAGCTGTTATCGATGCTCATGATGGTCACACCAGATTATGACATTTGACTCTAACCAAGTGGCTTTAATATCCCTCTGTAGTTTTACCAAACACTTTCCGGATAATAATGTTTTGGGAATTTGTAAAGTGATGATTTTACTGTAACTGAGCAATGTTGTCATGCTTGAATCAGTTATATACACTCAGTAAGTAAACTCCAAAACACCATGTCAAGTTTCTTTTTTTTGAAGAGTATATGAATTGGTTGGTCGGTTGGTTGTTCAACGCCGCACACATCAATATTCCAGCTATATGCGCCCGCTGTAAATAATCGACTCCAGACAATCCAGTGATCAACAGAATGAGCATCGATCTACGCAACTGGGATACGATGACAGGTGGCAACCAAGTCAGCTAACATGACCACCCGATCCGTTAGTCACCTCTTACGACAAGCATGGGTTGCTGAAGACCAATTCTAACCTGGATCTTTACTAACCATGAAACAGATATGAGCGGACCTCTGGTGTTTCTATTTAATACAACACAGCTGCCTTGGACATACAGTTCTACCTACCTGGACAAGCAGTGAGGTTGCAGCTGATCTGTTCAGTCACTGTGAATGGCCCTGTACAATTACTTCCACCAAACTGGGGAGCTGGACTGTCACATCGTCTACTTCTGGATCGCTGCGTGGTGGCGGACGTTCCACAGGAGACGGTGCAGGCGGAAATCTGCCAAACATCCCAAGCGCTAAATCCACCATCGACTGGAAATCAAAAACACAAATAGTGCATGAACATTTAGGGGTCAACGTTTGGGTCCAATGTTTGGACAGTTTTAAAGTTAAACTGCAGTCTTACATTTAATTTCATGTAGCAGATTTCCATGGGTATGAAAAGGATTTATCCCATATGCATGTAAGAATGCCCATCTCACGTGACCTTGAAGAAATTACTATGTGTGCTCGGTGCACGGACGTACACCGCGCAAACAGGTATAACTCTTTGCGATGGAGAATAAATCGTTTATATCCCGCCCAATGAAAAAAACACCCAGACATCTACGGCAGTGAGTGAACCGTTAATCAGTGGCTCGGATCGACTATGCATGCGCAGTACCATCGTAGTAAATCATGTGACTGAATTTAAGTTTGTTTTAATGTTATATTTACAAAATGAGAGATTTAAACATTCGGTAAGATAAATCCGTTGTTGCATTATGACTCGGGGTATACGGGGTTTTATGCGACCCCCGTTGGGTGGATAAAACACGGGACGCATAAAACCCCGTATACCTCTCATCATAATGGACCCGTGAAGGTCCGGGTTAGAATATTGATCTTCAGTAACCCATGCTTGTCGTAAGAGGCGACTAACGAGATCGGGTGGTCAGGCTCGCTGACTTGGGGGACATGTCATCGGTTCCCAATTGCGCAGATCGATGCTCATGCTGTTGAGCACTGGATTGTCTGGTCTAGACTAGATTATTTACGGGAATATTGCTGAGTGCGGCGTAAAACTAAACCCACTCAGTCACCCTCATCACAGTGCTACAACTAGTATTGTCGCACACACAATTATGGGTAGTGGAGTGAAAGGTACTGCCGCAATTACCTTCTCAAGTGAGATTAACTCTGGTCACGTAAAAGTGAAAAGTTTAAGAACGTTTCAAAAACTCAAAACCAAAAATAAAACCATCCTTGGAGGCATATGGGCAAGAACGTCAAAGGATATTTATGAGAAATATGGTGAAACAGGAAAAGTTTCTGCTTATTTTGCGTATAACTTCAGTGAACTGAGAAAATGTTGCACTTTTCTTGGGAACATATTTTCATAATTACACCTGAAGATATACCAGAATCAGTGTGCGTCATGCGGAAGCTCTGTTTTTATGCCAGAACTTTCTTATATGCTATTTTATATCTAAGCACTTTTAGTCTTTATGCCTATTCGTTTATGGTATGATCCAATCAACTGCCATAAGCGCTGTAGGTGTCACCAGGCGAGACAGATACTTGGCATCGAGAATGAACAGTTGCACTGATTTCAGATTCAATATTCAACTACTTACCAGGGCAAGGATCAAAACCACAGCTCCTCCCTGTAGAATCTTCGCTGCTTCCTACACAAGGGCTTCCACCAAATAAGGGTGTAGGATTGGTGCATGTTCTTCTCCGGGTGATGCGTCCAATGGTGTTCTGCCCGCAGGACCCCGAACACTGGATGCCTGACCATGGTCCCCAGCTTGACCAGAATCCATTGACTGCAATCAATATTACCCTCTCATCTACTTCTTTTGGAAGGATATATCATGTTGGACAGCTGTGTATGTTATAATTATTTGTATCATCATTTAGGTGTTATAAAACCTCTTAAAACATTTTCCGGATTTAATGAGAGAAAGTCCCTGAATGTGATTTGAAACGAAGAACATCAAAAATATAAACTTTACGCACTTACCAGCTCCTCGACAAATATCTTGGGTTATGCCGTTCAGTGAGGTGTTCAAAGAATCAAAATCTGTGATTTGAAATGCTGTAGCATTCGAGGAGGCAATAGACAGTATTTCCGCCTGAAAACGTTGTACAAATGATGGGACGGTGATGCCATTAACACCAACAGCAAACATTGTTATCCCGGAGTTCTTCGCTTCAGCAGCAGCAGCTGCAGTTTGCTCTGGGAAATTGGAAATGCCATCGGTTATTACAACCATCACCCGAGGAATGCCAGAGGTGTCTTGATTTAGGAGCAGCATTCCTCTCCGAATGCCAAGATGAGTGCTTGTTCCACCGCTGGGTTGCGACAGTGAATTAATGGATGATTGAAGACCGCTTATACTGCTGGAGGCAGTGATAACATCAGTCACGTTGTTGTTGAAAACCACAACTCCAACTTGCATATTGCCGTTTCTGGAAATGGTGCTGGAAACAAAATTTCTTAACGCGTCCTTGACGAGTTGGAACATTTCAGAACTGACACTCTCTGATCCGTCAACGACAAAATAGACGATGGCTGCAGCGCAACCTACAACAACAAGAAGAAGATTGTTAAAGAAACGTTCAGGGAACAATGAAATTGATTGTCATTCGATTTCGAAAGCTTGCGACCTTAATCCAATGACAGGCTAACCTGCTATAATGTCCCACTATGTTGTATGAACTCGCGTTGTACCGAACATATTCACCTTTCGTTTCAAGTTTCAGTCAGACGGAGGTGGCGTAGAAAGAGTTTGAGATATTGCAGCTGAATTGACTGTAATTGGCACTGACGAAACAATGGTTTTATCGAAACTGGAACTGACCTACTTTGCACCAGGACCTCATAGTTTCCCCAACGGTGAGACCATATGGTATATGAACGTTTATATGTGTGCTAATGCTATCATATTTAGCTTATCTATTACTGTTTGCAAGCTCTTTCAGTTAGTAGGTGCAGACTAAAAACATGCACACACATACACATAATCTGTCTCACAGTCCCTGAACCACATTATTTTCCCTACTGCCAAGCCCTCTCTGCAATGCTAAAGCCCTAAATAAAGCAAGTCTAGATTTCCTCAGGTTCAGGATCTCTGGTCTCCCTTTTCAATATAAATTGGCGTGTTTGTTACTATCAAAATTATATATATTCTGAGACTAAGCCCTAGTCTAACATACACAATGCATACGATGATTTACAGACAGCCGCCATATAGCTGGAATATTGCGGGGTAAAACTAAACTCACTTACACGCGCACTCACAATACATACATATATGCGTACATATATTTTTTACACTCGTCTTATTCATACAGTAAATCAAAACCTCAAATAATAAAAAAAATCAAATCAAATAGTGTTGCTCCTACTTGGACAGTTTCCTAGAGAACAGACACTTTGGGACGTCTCCTGTCTGGTCTCTGGACAGTCTAGTCCGCCATTCAGTGGAGCTGGCTGCGTGCATGTCCTGCTTCTGGTCAGATCCCGAACTCCTTGTCCACATGTCACCGGGCAAGCAGGGCCACTCCATTGGCTCCACTGAGATATTCCACCATTGACTACAACTGAATCAAGGCCACCTTGATTGTGACTGACGCAAAGTAAAGAAAGTCGCCATGTTGCAGAAACAAAGATGATCAATAAGGTAGGGGACAGGCTATATGTGCCATGATTTGAATTGAAATTGGATGTCTGAGCTTCAAGGAAAACCTATTTTAGTGCACATCACAGACAAAAAAACAGTTATCAGGAACTTTACTACTTCGGAGTTGGTTTCATGTTGTGGTAAATCATGCCCAACAATTCTACGTACTACGTCGTTTTACAGCACCTAACCTCCTTTAAGGCAATCAGTATGATTCACGTGATCTGACGGAGATGAACAAATGTCTTACCTCTCTCTTTTCGGTATAACGTTTTCAACGTATGTCTATCAAAGTGCTATTATTGAAAGGATAGAACCGACTGAACTTTAGAAGAATGATGTTTGTTAAACTATTTCAGTGATGCAATCGTTTTACTCTTCTACTCACATCTTGTTGAACATATCTGTAATATAAATAAATGGAAGTAGAGTCAACCCTTTGACCCTTTCACTCACTCTGAGGAAAGCCAAAACAGTTTCGCCAAGTGCCAAAACATGATCAACACTTCAAACTCAAAGACACATGTTTGTATTTCTCTTCATACTCGGTAACAACGCAATAACATGTCCAGTCAGTTCTCTGGTTACCCTCAATCCCGTAGTTAATGGCATCATTAAAATCGGTTGTATCAAAACCGTTTTGACATATCATTATCTAATGACGTCCCAATGAGAAAGTTTTCATTACATTCGACCATTCCACTAAACATTTCCCAACAATTCTCCGACGTTAACACGTACGCGTTACTTCCGGTCATCTGAAAAAATGTCTGTCCTCCCAAACCACGGAACAGAAACCATACTTTCTGTTCCGTGGTTGCGGAGTTCAATTGCTAGCGAAGTTGGTTGAGAAACACATCGCAATACTGAATAGTAAACTGCGCAGTACAGTCACCCATGAAACGTTAAAAAATAACATATTAGTATTCACTGATATCTGTTTTTAATCAAATCACAAATGGTAATTCTGAAATCCAAGTTTGAAATCCGATTTGTGGCAGAACCAATAACGACCTACGACCCCAATCCGTTCCAACATTTTCATAACCATGTCCTTGTGTACCCTCCAACAATCGTAAAGATCCGACGTTTCGTGGATCTGTTGTGGTCATGCACTGTCTATTCAACTACACAGTCAAACTGTTGTCATACTGCTAAAACATTAATGAAATCATACAGATTGATATCATCAAACCGAACTGGTTAATCTAATGTTATCACCTTGAAGCCAAGCCTAAAGGTCATCTTGTATGGTATGTACAATTACAGATTGCAACAAGCCAACTGCTTCTTTGACAGATGACCACCTCCGTGGTGTAGTGGTTAGAGCGTCCGCCCGGAGAGCGAAAGGTCGCGGGTTCGATCCCCGACCGCGTCATACCAAAAAACCTTAAAATATGGTACTTGTTGGTCCCTGCCTGGTGCTCGCCATTAATGGGTACAACAAGGATTGGTCGGTTCGGAGTCAGTATAATGTGTCTGAGTGGGGTATTCATGCTTCGCTGCGGCATGGTATCTCAGTGGGCTAGCACTATAAAACCAGCTTAAGTCTGGGCTAGTACAAGCAGCCGCACATACACATACACACGCATGCACGTCGTCATATGAGCGAAATATTCTCAAGCACGACGTAAAACCCAATTTCACCTCACCTCACCTCTTTGACAGATTCTGGTTGTGGCTAGTCAAAGATGAGACGTAAAGGAAGGGACTGTGTATGAAGTGTAACTCAGAAAAAGTCTGGGCAAACTGGATCAATCTTTTGTTATTGTTGGGTGTACATTTGCAGAATATTTTTGGGTAAACCCCCAGCACATAATAGGTGTTCTCAGCCAATCCATTTAATTGAACTCTTAACACATCATTTGTCAGAACTTACAGTGTCTCCAGTGAACGATATACTATGTGGCCATGTGGCCAAATTTTGGATTGTTCCCATATCCAAAATCTTTGGGTTTTTTTACTCACAATATACTATAAGATTAACATATTTTAAATGTATATCTGTTATAATCTAGCTGTTTTACTTTCCCTTGTTGACAGGTTTTATAATTTACCTTTAATTGATACGAATCTGTAACTTGATTTAGTCACGATATGGCTGAAATATTGCTGATGTGACTTAAAACCTGAATTCACTCACTCATGGGGATTATATCGAGTAGTCATTACACGCTACTTTAACGCTGACTTGGCAAAAGTAAACATTCATTCTGTGAACGCGATATATAACATACGTAATTAATACAGGTAAGAATTTACCTGGGGTTGCAACTTGTACATCCCCTTGCAGGAGGATCCCTTGTCCATACAGGTAGTAGTATCGTCCTTGGTCTGACTCCAAGACATTGGTGATGGTCAGTCGGTGGAACACACCGGAGACGGAGTACAGTGTTCTGTCGTTGTCAGGCAGTAGTACCACCGGGTTCGGTGGAGCCGCAAGGTACCATTGTCCCTTTGCTAGATCTGCTTCCGACGCAGTTACTTCCAGGGTGGTATTAGAACCGAAGGCAATGACAGGATTACCTACAAGTTGTTGTATGCCTGGAAAATAATTACAGTAAAAAGCAATATAGCATACGACTTTTTTTGCGACATTTCGATGAAGATTCTAACACCGTTTTCAACCTAATAAAGATGAAGATGAGAAAGTCGAAAACAATTGTGTGATACCTTGAGACAAAGCCTGCTGCATCAGCATCACCAGACCAATGACACGCCATTCCCATCTCGGACACAGCATCTCGGAAAAACTAGAATTCAAAAATACGTAGCAAGAAATATACTCATGCCAATAAGGTTGTCACCCTCCCTCCCCACCCCAACCCCCACACCTCTCCAATAAAAAAAATTGAAGGGGTGGGTGACAACCATTATTGGCATGAGTGTATAACACTTTGATCGTAAGAGTACCGCAGTTCAAGCCAGAACGGAGCGAAGAAACCAGGAAGCTGGGAGTCGAACCCAGTCTTCTGCTTAACAAGACTTAGCTTTAATTACTCGGCTACCCTACAACCCCATAAACCGCTGCTTTCAAACATAAAGATGTAATGGATATACATAGATAATTGTCACACATGTAACAAACGCAATATTTGAGATGACACTTTCTTAGTGTAAACAGTACACAAACTTGGTACGTTGGGGGTATTAAGTCCCATACAGGATTCGAACCTCACTGATAGAGTGAGGCACCACATCGCCAGCACACAGTAAGCGATCTCATCAACAGCCTCCGAAGCGTCCACAGATGGTATAACAGACAACGTAGTTTGTGCGTAGCCCACTGACCAGTGTAAATTGGCACTGATTCCGTGGTCAAAAGCTATGAATGACAAGTGCCTTTTAGGAAGTGGCCAGATGTCAGATAGTACAATATAATTTCTGGTCGATTTTTCTGTTCAGGTCAATTCGGGATTCGAACCTACACATCAAGAACATGGCACCAGTCAACAAAGTCAAATTTACGAAGCAAGTGTTACATGTGAACACTTTTGAAAAGGCATTGTACATTCACATATCATACAAACGATATTGTCACCAACAAAATCCTAACAACAAATTCAATACGTATACTCACACTACGCGTGAATACTCGGTGAATACAGAAAAAGTCACAATGTTATGATTGATTTCAAATGTATTGCTATCATATGCTAGTTTAATAACTGACACAACGTGCAATACTACGTTATAATGTTGTCTTACGTTTATGCAATATGGCAAGTAGTGTGTCCTGCCTGCTCGCTCCTCTTGTAGAGACTAACGGATTTCTAAGTTGGGTACGGCTTTATACGTTTTGGGACATTGTCATTGAACAATCTATTGCCTTTCAAATTTAGATATGAACTAATGGGCTGACGGTTTGTAGATTCAATAGATTGAGGCATGTCTTCGGTGATCTTGCAATACAAAGGAACGTTTCATTTACAAAGGGTTGGCGCGTTTTGATGTATCAATACATAACTATATCCTGCATGGTTACAATTAACATTGGAGACAATACATTTCAGCTTTTTAAACACAAAACGTGTATAAATATATATGTTCATTTTGTTGATTAAACTATTTATAAATGCGTCACTCGTGTGTGTGCTTCATTCATGAGCCATGTACTTTCATTGAGGGGGAGGGACTGGTGTATGTGTGTTGGTGTTGTGGCCTACATACACACAATGTCATCGTGACAACCATCTGCGTGTTAGAGTATCCTGCCTTGACAACCACATCAAGTGCTGGGGAAATCCGTGGCTCCGTTTTGTGTGCACTGCTCACGATTGACATTGATCTAAATTGGGTACATTATACATGTCATATTATACACAGTCCTGTACCGGATTCGTAACTGTGGGCATATTGAGGCATGGAGTCACGATCTGAGCACCTTACTGTGGACATGTTGATGTATAGAATCACGATCCAGGTTACTGACAATAGAAAATTCGGTTATGGGTCAGTGGCGTTCAAATATACAAAGCGTCAGCACGATTTACAGATCCAATAAAAAGTCATACTAAAGTAGGGGAACCTGAACTTTCAATTTGGATAGGAAACATAAGCGTTAACAAACTTTTCAAAGACAGACACCGTATGACCGCAACACCATTTCTCTTTATCTCACAACGTAAAGGGATGCACGAGAACAACGCAGAAGCCCCATACACGTGCATGCGGCGTCATTCTTGATTTTGACGTTTTTCAAGATTTTCATTAATTTTTGACATATCATCTTGCATCACCCAGTCGTTAGTGTTTGTTTCTAGGCGATTCTTTTGTTTGAAAATTAAACCGTGCACATGCGCATCTCACGTCATACACCAATCATCTTTCAAGAGCCATTGTTGTACAAGCAACTATGATCATAAGGAAGTGCAAGTGGTGATACACTCTCAAGACATTCATTATTCATTATCAAACATTGATTGACTCCGTAATACCTCCAAATTTATTCAATCGTAAATTAAAAATGAAATACCCCATTTTTTAAAGAGTGATATATACTGTATATATCAGAAAATTTAAGAGCCCAGGTTCGTGTCCACAAGCAACAAGTTTCCTGAAACCCCATGTATCCCACTAAGTGAACGTCTAGATGTCTGTGCGAAAGAAAACGATATTAAATTTACAATATTTCCTTTTTATCAAGTTCAAAATTCTTACAAAGTAAAACGAATTTTAAAAAGAACAATACTTCATAGATAAGTTCAAACCAATGTTAAACCATTGCAAACTTTGACCTTGTCGCTCTAGAATGTTCTCCCTATTGTGACGTCACAATATATATGTAATGACGTCATGTATGTATGTATGTATGTGCGTGCGTGTGTGCGTGTGTGTGTGCGCAATGTAAATTACGACGAAACAGAACTAACTAAAAGTATATAAAGTGGGAATATGACGTCACACTTGCACTGTGAGGTGCTCAGTCATTGTTTTGTCCCTTTAATTTTTGAGGCGGTGGGGTAGCCTTGTGGTTAAAACGGTCGCTCGTCACGCCGAAGACCCACGTCGATTCTCGGCATGGGTACAATGCGTGAAGCCCATTTCTGGTGTCCTCCGCCGCCATATTGCTGGAATATTGCTAAAGGCGGCGTAAAACTTAACTCACTTATTCTCTGTATTGTTGAATGAAAGGGCTACAACAAGGACCTGATACCATCCTCTGTTATGAGGGACTCCAACCACAGACATTCCAATCTCATGCTTGCCCGTCATTGTCAGGGCTGTGTGACACGGTCGGGGCGCGCTTCTTATTTTTTTACACTTTGTCAGTTTGTAACACAATTGTGAAGGTGAATATTTTTCTTTTTCGAAGCAATTTGATTCATTGAGTCTGTACTAAGTTACTTTTCCTGGCTTCTCGATTAATGGTGGAATTGTGATCCAGAGTTTCAATGATATGTAAAAGCGGTTTTTCAGGTTCCCACTTTATACTGAGAAAGTGTAAACACATATATAGTAGTATTCTACCAAACCCAACGATTGGAGTCATTGACAGATTCCAACTTTATGTGGAATGGAAAAAAGGATAAAGTAAAGAAAAAAATAGATATACAAAACACAATATTTGCAGAGAAATTTAATTGGATAGGAAGAATATTTCAAAATCCATTGAACGTTAAATATGTCTTTACGAGAGATGATCTATAAGATATTATTAGGTTGGCAGACCCAGTATGCATAAAACGAATGTCATACCAACGGTTTCAAATACTTTATGGAGGGATGTACTGCAGGGATGGTCCAATTTTCTAGCTAAACACTATGGAAATGTCGAATGTTCTTCTGAGATACTCTGTCAATCCGTCTGGTGGTATGACAACATAAAACTTGGTGGAAAACCTGTATGTTATTTAGAATTGTTTGAAAGAGGAATCATCTTTTTAAATGACTTCATGTACGATGAAAACATCTGTAAATTTGATGAAATTCCAGACAAATGCGATATGACAATATATTTCTTAAAATATCAGGGATTGCGTTCATCAACTAATAATTTTATTTTTTTTAAAGCATAAAAAAAAACACAACACGAAAATGTTAAAATGTCCTTTTCTTCCTTTCAATTGTCTGAAACTTGAGATTAAACAAGGCACTAAACCTTGCTATCAATCTGTATTAAACTCAAACTCTTCCAAATCTTCTGGACATTGTAAATGGGAAAACGAGTTTGATAAAGTATATACTGAATCTGAAGAAGAAGGAATCTATTTGATGTCGAAACGATGCACACAGAGTGTTAAGTTGAACTGGTTTCAGTTCAAACTTGCACATAACATTCTTTTTACAAACACAAATTCACATAAGATTGGATATGTAGACTCTCCATCGTGTACATTCTGTGAAGCTGAACCTGAAACAGTTATTCATTTGTTATGTGAATGGGAACATGCAAAGATTATGGAGTCACTTGTCGGATTGGTTAAATACTGTAAATTATCCCCGAAATCGTTTTACCTGTTGCAACTGGCACAACTCTACACAACTATCGGTATTCTCTATATATCACTGCAAGCCAAAAGCATAATTATAACATACTAGTATTATGATTTGTATAACACTTTTATGTACCATCTGTTGTACATTACCGTGCATGTTGTATGTACCTAGTGCTATTTGTACATCATAATTTAAAAACTTCACTTAAAATATGCCATGCTACCGTGTTACACAAACGATGTTGTGTATTGTTATACATATCACTGTATATCTATATTTTGTTGTACATGAAAATGGGAAAAGACTTAAATTAGAAAACAAAAAAATATAGCATGTGTTATATCCCCACCTTTTAAAAAAAGTTTTACATGACTTCGAGTAAAAAAAACTGAAAGACCTTAAGGCGCTTTTGAAGATTTTAAATGGTACACGTTTAGTAACTCCATAGCCAAATATGCAGATATCACCAGTAACTCAACTAGTTTTTGCACTCAACCGATTCATTTACGGAGTTCTGTATTTTTCAGTTCCTTGCAATATGACGTCATTGGTGCAAACTGATAAACGAATGACGTCTTCCGACCTTATAAGACCCGTTCACATAATGCCGGTGTGTGGCTGTTGCGTGTGGAACAGCCTGCTGGACTAGTCCTCTGAACGTGAAAGGGACATGCAGACATTTATCCCAGCTAGCAATTTCACGTTGTCACAAGGTTGTCCAAACGCCATGCTGCCATTGTTACAACGTTATTCTGTGGACTCCCATTTACAACGTTGTGACGTGACGTTGTGATACGTCATTTT